GTTCTGAATAAGCTATAGAACATGTTTTTGTTTCTTTTTGCTTCACGGCGGTTTGTTATCAGTTATACGAAAAATAACTCTATAATACCTTGGTTACACGGGCACCCTTAACCGCAGTTAAGTCACCCCTAACTGCAGTTACGCTTTACCAGAGTTACCACACTATACTCTTGGACAGCAATTTCAGAGGAAGAGTGCGCGTGCATAGCTCTGATGGGCACTGAAGATGCGCAAGCGCACACGTACCCATAGCTTTAAACTGCACAACCAGGGCAACGTTGTCCGCAAGTATAGGCTAAATTGCTCATCCACAGCGAGGAACTCGTCGCAACCTTAAAATGGCTGACCAACTACACGCTGTATAAATATCCAGACAAGCCCACCTTTTATTATTATTATTATTATTATTATTATTATGTAGCAACTATGACTTCGCGTAATTCCAGTTAAGGGAGACTTAACTGCGGTTAAGAGTGGATGCGTGTAACTAGGGTATAACTGCCGATCCTCTAGGCCTAAAGCTCTCCTGTATAGGCAGCGCCTCTGGCGAGCGAAATCAAAGATTTCTCGGTCGCGTTTCGATTGCGCGTCAATGCGCTTTCTCACGTTGCTCGCAAACACTAAGCTGGCAGAATTATAAAAAAACAAATTTGGAATAAAGGATAACAGGAGCAATAACGCTACAAGGAAAGCATTCTCATTGTTGTAATAGGACAGCGCTAGCTGCATATTTGTTTTTTTAAATTTAAGCTTGATTTGATTTTTTTTAGGCGCTCTGTTATTGACTGTTAACATATACTGACGGTCGCTTGTAAACGTTTGTGGCTTGTGCATGATCGAACGCTGCAGTGGCGCTTTGCTTTGCGCTCAAGGCAAGTATTACATGGGAGCATCTTACGTAGGGTGTCTACATGTCTGTCTGTCACAGAGTGATGACATCCTTTGGTGCGCCAAATGGGCCAGCGCGTTACGCGCTGGCCCACTCAGTGCATGACTTATGCGGTAAGATGGCGTCTAAGCATTGACCAACGGCACTGGCCCGTAAGTGATGACGTCACAACATGGCGTTGTGCTCCCAACAAACATTTGCTAGGGTGTCGTTGCTATGAATAAACACATGGGGGCTCGACGTTAGGTTAGAGTTTTTCTGATAGAAACGTGAATAATTTTTCGTAAGCATTGTGTCTTCTCAACATCTAATCACGAAGAATTTTCCTATAGCGACTTAGTGCCATAAAGCAATGATAAAATCCCGGAATAAAGCTTCCAAACGGTTTTGCCTCGTTAACAGAAAACAATATGGCTTCGTGGGTTTGGTTCACCGTGGTTTGGTTCTATATTAGCGAGTACGCAACTAGTGAAATGAAGTCGGTAACGAGAGACGAATCTTCTATTCTCGGAGTCAACTTTTTGTGAGATTTTGGTAGCGAAAAGGCCAAGTGCACAGCTTTGGTCGACGCTCGTGGTGCGCGAGCGCGCGAACGCCTGCTTGTGGAGGCTTCCGCAGTATTTGAGAAGGGTGAAAACACCGAAGACGAATCACGTATGACGACGACGTAAAGTCTATCAGCTGGTATCAACGTCGAAGTGCAGGTTAGTCAGCGAGGTCAGCACACGTTTCAAGAGGTATATAATAACGGTACAGCTACTTTAGTGAAGATTTCTAGGACCCAACCGTCTGTCCGTAATATATATATCAGTTACCTGATGTTTTTATACAACTCATTCGCTATATCTTACTGAAAACCGAAGAATCAGCAGGAACCCTGCTCAGTGTGATGTTTACAAGCAGGTAAGGAACAGACACCCACATTGCGAGCATGAAAAACGAAGTTTGGGGTCTTGAACCAATATGGTTAAATTCAAAGTAATGTTTCCCGCCAAAAAAAAAAAGGGGGTCTAACGCTGCTTTGCTATCCAAAACGAAGGCTTCTCTCACTGTATTTTTAGCAATTCTCCACCCGTGGGATGATCTTCTTCAGCCAGTAAACGCATCGCACGCAAATACAGTTCGCTTTTATATACCTGATAAGTTTGCTTAGACCCTGTCATGTTACTTATAAATACAAGACCAAAATCGTAGCATTATGCAAACGATTACTGCCGTTGCAGACGCATGCATCAGTCAATCCGTATGCGTTCGTAGTCTGCAGCAAGCATCTTGAGATGTCTCTAGCATCGGAAGTTGCCGTCGCAAATATTTCAGAAACAACCTATATTTGGCTCATTTCTGTCGTGGTAAGTGTGAAATCTAGGCTTCCTATATCTGTTATTTTTAGACCTTTAGACTCCACGTCCGATTTTTGAATAACAGTTCTTTCGGTGCGAAATTACGTCCCATATATACCCGCCCATAGCATGCCCCTAGATACGTTTTGTTTGGAGCAGTGACGTCACACTTACGGAGTCACACCGGATTGCGCACACTTCAAAATACATAAGAAAATGGCTGAGATGCTGGGCTGGGCAGAAATACTCCTGAAAGTATTCGGAAATACAAATACTGAGATACATTTGTTGTTTATGCAACGGGATATCCCTGAGATACTTCCGCAAAAGCGGCGGAAAAGTATTCTGGAATACAGATACAGTCACTTATAGAAATACATTTGTTCATTAACGGTGCTACGCGGGGAGGATATAGTTCGTGGCGAATGCAAATGGCCATTTATGTTTGTGCTTCTCATTTTGTCATTTTCTAGACTTTTCCTTACCTCGAACTTTTATTTATTATCTATGCCGCTAAATGAACGTCACTCCCTGTGAAGCACGTAGTTACTGAACGGTAAAGACTGCGTGCCATGCTTGACAAAAGGCTTCTGCACAAAATGTATCTTGTCTTGCCGTAAGGGCGTATCTCAAACTGTAGTCTTATATACTTTTGTGTCACCCACAATGTGGGGAGAATGGGCAACAGAGCCGTACCTTTTCACCATTCGACTCTTTGACAGCGGTCGTTCTGCTGAATTCGAGAAAGTGTAAAGCTTTGTGAGAGGAGGCTATTTTGTTATTCTAGCAAGTAACCTTCTTTAAACTACAATTTTTTTTAATTGTTGGTGACTGTGACAGATCATGTTATAGGGATGGTTCATATAAACTCTGAAGCATCTTCACCAAACAGTTGTTTTTATCTTTTAAATTTATCACAAGAACGGTAAGCAAATACAACGACATACCTAAGTCTGGCAAAGTATCGCGATAGAAGCGATACATTGTAAATGCATTTCACTACTGAGGTACAAATACATTTTTCAAACGTATATTGACCAGATACTCGAAAGTATCTCTAAAATACTATCGCGATACATTTGTATCGCGATACTGCACAGCCCTGCTGAGGTGTGACCTCTCAAGTAAAAGCACGCGTGTGGATTAGAGCCACTAGATATGGCAGCGGTGGCTCTAGTGTGGATGAATGCACTCTAATCTTAGAAGCGCGCTCACGACCCCCCCCCCCCCCCCCCCCCCCCTTCCCCCCGGGGCCGAAAAAACAAGCCTATACTAAGCTTCACCATGGGTATGGTGCCTGGAATGCGCCTAGGACTGGTATGTTAACCGTCTCCAAAAATGTGGTCACTCGATTTCCACTCGATGACGTCATAGACGTTATTACGACTTCACAGCGCATGAACGTCTGACAGCGCTGTGAAGTCGTAAGATGGAAAACCAACTAGCCCGAGCTGCTGTGTTGACAAGTCATAGAAGTGTCACGCTGTCGTCGGCCGCGATCCTGGCGGCGTCACATCAGCGATGGTGGATGTGGCAGACCCCTGTTATGCTGCAGGTCGCTCTCCAGCTTGACAGTCTACGGAAAATTCAACAGCCAGGAGTTGGGACGCCTTGACGACAGCGATACTCACGTACTCTCGTGCTTTTCGCCAGCATTTCTACGACCAACCGCCAGGATTGCGACATCCGACAGCAAGACCAGAGCCGTTTATACCGAGAGTTTGGCCAATGGAAGGAGCATGTTGCTCGCTAGAACCAGCGGATATCGCGAGAACACAAAATGGTGTTCCACCTTTATTTATTTTTATTTTTTTTTATTTCTGAGAAGTCGCATAGAATTCCTGCGAGTTAGAGCCCCAAGATGGCGGACGAAAGTAGTCATACCCCGGACGTCACACTACGCTGCTGCCACAGTATGAACGGCTCTGCAGCACGACACTCCGGCTTTTATGACGTCATTTGTTACCGCTTCGGGACCCCTTTCGATGCGCGGGCGGATTAGGACGCTAAACAAACCAGACGAAGACGCGTTCCAGGCACCGTATCGTAAGTACGAGTGGAGCCGAAGTCGCAAGAGCGTGCGTGCTGCCCTAAAGGCAGCTTGAACTGCTCGAGCGCGTTTGTTCGAGACGCGGAGCTCGCTCTTGTAGCTTCTGCTATGCTCGCACATAAAGTGATACGAGGTGTAGCCAAATATGATACGTGTTCACTAAAATGTAGGAAGAAATAAACTGTAACATAGCCTCCTATATACTGACAAAGCCTGGCAGATAGTCACGAGAAGCGGCCGCCGAAATGGATGAGAGGAAAGCCACGTGACTGGCGCCCCGCTGCGGCTAGACGCCGAAACACACTTCTCCCGAGCGAACAAGTGTGGTTCGGGTCCTCGCCGCTGCAAAAGCTGTGCGTTGACGTCCAGGTCCCCCCAGGAATGGCTCTTAAATGCTCTGTGCTACCAGATCCTCTCGCTCCAAACCTGCGACTGGGCACCCTGTGGCTTCGTCTTCGAACTGCCTGGCTTTGTGAATATAGAGGAGGCTATGAATGTAGTCAATAAAATTAAGGAACGAAGTAACTATGGACAATAAAACGTCTTCGCGAGAAGACGGTTTATTGTGTATATTAAAGTACAAAAAAATCACTTACTGATGGTCATTGATATTGCAAATAATGACAGTAATTCACCTACATTTTGAATTATAATTTTCTTATTCTACTATGCTTTGTCGAAGGAGCTACCCCAAACCTAGAGGTCAAGAGGACCAACCAACATGGAAGTGACGGATCTGATCGGCGAGACCGGTACCTTCCAGAATTTGATGCTGGTCGTGTCCATGTACCGGGGCGTCATGCTTGCCATCAACAACCTGGGAGCGTCCTTCCTCTTTCCCCCGGTGGGCCACTGGTGCTCCAGACACCCCGCCCACATCAACAGGACCATTCAGCAGTGGAAGGAGTTGGCCATTCCGAGAGGCTATTCGGGAATGTCTGGATACGAATCGTGTTGGATGTATGCGATGTCCGACGACGGCGCGGTCGTCAACGAGTCACTTGTGCGCTGCCAGGAGTGGGAATACGACCACTCCGAGTTCTGGCCGTCGGGCACAGAAAAGGTGAATGACCACGGTACTGGCTCAGATAGCATAATTAATTGGGGCAATGGGAATTCAGGGCTTTAAAAAGACGGAAGTAGCCTTGGTAAAGCCAAACATGACCTTTTTTGGCCAGAGTCTGGGAACTTTCTATGCGCCCTAGCTTGCCAAACAAGTGCCGCAGTAAGGCCTCACCGCTGGTAGTTCTGGATATCATCTGGCGTATTTGCACCTAAATTGCCAAATAAGTACCATAGTAACGCTTCATTTCTAGTTGTTTGCTATTCATATGGTAATATTAAGCCTAGACTGCAAAAAAAAATCAGTTTAGGTTTTATAGCTGGAACTTCGGTCTATACGTGGCACATTTGGCTCAAGTCCGGCCAGAGAAAAGCCATAAGTAACGCATTGGAGAAAAAAAGTATTAGGTTCAAGTTTTTTTTCGTATGTTCGTCAAGCTTGTTCCAAGTTAAATGTGTCTCCGGCGCGCTACCTGGGGCGATCAGCGTATTGTCTCGCGTGACTTTGTAGATAATGCAACGATTGAGTAACTGCGGGCTCGTCGAGAGGAGTGGCCAATAACGCACTCAGGGTTCAGGCGCGATGATGTTTGCTGAAGCAAAAGGGCAGTTCATTCTAGCGTTACGGGCCTTTTGCGATGGCATTGCCCGCTCTCAGAACGCCAAGTTGCCTTAATTTTGTCGTGCGTTTTTTTTTTTTATATTGATTTTAACAGTGGAGTTTGGTGTGCGAAGATGCCTGGAAGAATTCGCTGCCTCAGAGCATGTACATGACTGGCATGACGGTGGGCTTTCTGCTGACGGGACGGCTATCCGATTTGTGAGTCATCGCTTGCTTTATTACTGTATATATCCTGTGCATCAGATCCAATAGTTTAAGACGTTTGAAGATAATATTTGTTTTAGATATTATCGGGTATCTATAGCGTATTGATAACTGCCTTATTCCTCTTTAGATATATTAACTGAGCGGTAACAGAATATAAACTAAATTTACCTTCTCAGAAGGCATCTCAAGGCCTTGCAGCCCTCTCAATAAGTAAGCAGTTTTTCAAGATTGCCTTAGCCAAAAACAGGCTCAAGTATTACGTCTAAAGAGTACAAACTTAACTTATAAGGGCGAGAGCAACATCCATCAGCTTGGCATTTTGCTCTCACTGAACGTCATGAATTATGGCAACTACGCAAAAACCTCTATTGGACTCCATACTTGCTGGACTAGACATAGTACTGGACTAAACACAGAACAATCCTGGGTCAACGTTCGTACTTGGCAATGTGTCACTGTACCTTTCTCTCTTCAGACACGGCAGAAGGCCCGTTCTTCTTTGCGGCCTTGTCAGTTACGTCATCCTGGAGTACGCCATGGCGTTTGTGCCGTACTTCTGGCTTTTCTGTTTCCTGCGGTTGCTCAGCGCAGCTTCCCTGGCTGCCGTCAACAGCAGCCTTACTCTGTGTGAGTTGATGAACTTTTACTAGTGGGGCTTTCTTGCTCCCTATGCCTGGCCTCGAATAGCTGAAACGAAGTCTTGAGAGCCATTAGGGCCAGATTTTCAGTACGTACCAGAAGACAAAAATACCCTATCCGCCAGGATTGCCACGATCTGTAGTATTTTTCCGTTGGCGTCTGCGACGTATTTCGTTACAATTTCGCGTACACCCAATGAGTTGGGCGATAGGAGGCTACACATACTAGGTGGAGACGCGTTTCGGGCATCCTATCGTTTCGACAATAGGCTGTTTGTTTTCTCTCCTCCAGACATTGAGACCATCGGCCCGGGCTACCGGAGCAGGTCCATGATCGCGTACGGTGTTTCCTGGGGCGTCGGCGTTGGCGTGCTGGCGGGGATCTCTTCCGTCGTGCCTCGATGGGACTATCAAATCGTCATCTACGCCTCCATGTACATCGCCCCGCTGCTGCTGTGGAGGTCTCTGGAGACGTCTTGTGCACCTCATTCCTTTAATTAACTTAATATTCTGCTACATTCTTAACGTAGGTTACGTTTGGACTTGGAGGGTTCCTGCGTTGCGCTACGGGATTTTTTACCTTTGACGTTCCCTCGTCGACATTGCACCCTGAGTCTTTATCCATATGTCCTCTCTCAAAAACAGTGGCGTATCCAGGATTTTGTTTTGAGGGGGCGGGGGGGGGGGGGGGGGGGGGGGAGGGGGTGTTGGCGCTAAGTATATGCGTAGCGCCATGGTGAGGTGATGTGCGGCATATCCGTTCTTCGCCGTAAAGTGACCACGACGGTGCATGAGTCGTGCAGGTACATCATCGAGTCCCCGAAGTGGCTCATGACAGCAGGAAGGTACCAGGAGGCGGAGCGTGCCATATGGGACATCGCGAGGCTCAATGGTCGCCCGGACGTGGACCGCCGCGCCTTTTTGAAGATGAAAGAGATGTACGCCAAGGTACGCGAAATGAACATCCATAAAGTATAGCGTGCCATTACAATTGAATGCACCCCTTAAATAAGGCAGACACACCGGCATTTGCACGTAAAAAAGATAACATTTTCACCACAAAGCCGCGATCACGCTGCTATAGTACAGGGTGTCACAAAAGAAAATTTACACGCTCTTTTTTACCGCAAAAATAAACTATAGGCATCGCCGAACGCTCATGCTCCGCCCAGGGAGGTCACAACCAGATGCCAAAGTTTCAGCCCGATCCGATAACTTAATCAAAAGTTATAAGTGATTTTCTGAAAATTTCAATGGGAAAACGTAGCAGATTTTTGCCCGTTTTCGGTTTCTGATGCCATAGAGCCCCATGTGTTTGAAAACTCCGTCGGCCGCCATTTTCTCATTAAAATTTTTTAAAAATCACTTATAACTTTTGATTAAGTTATCGGATCGGGCTGAAACTTTGGCATCTGGTTGTGACCTCTAGCGCTACCTTTGGGCGGAGAAGGAGCGTTCGGCGATGCCTATAGTTTATTTTTGCGGTAAAAAAGAGCGTGTAAATTTTCTTTTGGGACACCCTGTACATCAGGCTGTTTTTTGGTCATTCAAAAACTGCCTGCAAACACGTAATAATTAAGCGTACAATGTATGGAGCAAACGTGCTTGGGCGTACCCGCAGATAATTCTCTGCAGAGAACACCGTGCCTTCTGAATGATGTACGATGACGTACTGCGGCTTTACGGCTTCCTTCTTACGAACAACGAGACCGTGTAATCTCTGAAAAGTATAACGCTGGACGCCGACGCGGATGACCGGCAGTGTTTCTTATCGAGAAGCAGCACCACAGGTCATATTAAAACGAACATTGGGCGTAACTGGTGAGCGACGCGTCGCCAGCAAGTTTCCAGGACCACGCTTGTATTAAGTTTTCTATGCGGACTGAAAGTTCGTCTGCTTCTTCGGCAGGGGTCGTGGTTACGTCTGAAAGACGCCAAGCTCTTATTGGTTCTGAATAAAAGATCCTGGGTAGATTTAAAAGCAGCTTGCTTCGAGGTCTACCCACTATCCTTCAATCAGAGCCAATCGGAGTTCGGCGTCTTTCTCACGTCCCAGCAACTCTTGTGCGAAAAGCAGACGACTTGCTTTCCCCATAGCTTTAATCTCGCTGTGTGTTTTTAGTAGTGTATACGGAAGTAAGATTACGCACGGGGACATTATTTTAAATTCTGGAGCCAGCTAGTAGCTAGCGCCAGCAGTGCTCGAGACGATTTGTGCGGTCTCGTGCATTGTGCGCGCAGAGCTCCAGCGAGGTTGTCGCACGCGCAGGAAGACGTCGTAAGAAGCTTAAAAACCCGTCTGGTCTCTCTCGGTCGCACTCGGTTGCAGGAGTGTGAACGGGGCTTTAGACTTTCACGAGGTAAAAGTGAGCACTACAATAAATCCTTGATGAAAAGTTAAGCTCCCTCCCTGCAGGCGCCCATGGTTTATTTTTGTTGGATGTCCGCATAGTGATGACGCTCTGTATAATATTCCTCTTGCTCCCTTACTGATCGCTATAAAAAAAAAGAGAAGGAGAGAAAGACGTTTACGATTCTTTTTAATACCGAATTAGAGCGCAGCTCCTGAGAAGGAGCAGGAAAAGGTACGGAGGAGAACTTACCGGGAAATTGTGAGACAATTTCCCGGTAAATTTCCCAGCTAAATTTAGCGAAAATATTTCCCCGCTAAATTTAGCGAAAATATTTCCCCGCTAAATTTAGTGGGAGAATTTCCCACCAAATTTAGGCGCCGTGGGACGTCACGAGGGGACGTCACGAGGGTGACGTCACACGTGGCTTCACTCGTGACGTTACGTGTGACGTCATTATGGGAAACGTCCCATAATGCAACTCATGGTTACGCCGACGGCGGCGGCGACTCCGCTCAATCCGAAAACGAACGCCTAAAAACTGCACACTAAAAAAAAAAAAAAAATTTTTTTTTTTTTGTTTACAATGTGCGGAGAAACGAAAGCGGTATGTGTAGCACGGTCGCGCAATGCTGGTGCTATGGTGCCGTCACGTTCCTGAGGACGGAGGTGCGACAAGGTTCCGTGAAGTAAGTGGGTAAGCGTGATGAAGGTTTCTAAAACCATCCAACATTACGCGTAGCAACTGGATACAGCCAAAGTGGGATTTCGCATAACGCGAGGAATGTATGAAAACAAGTCCTTCAAGCAGACAACACGGAAAACTTATTTCGTCGCGTCGTTACTGGCGAGATTCCGGGGTCCCCATCTCGGCGGTGAGCGGTCGACGGGAAAACCCGACTTCCCTGTCCTTGTGCCAAGAGCGGAGAGAAAGGTTTTTCTGTACTGGAGACGAAAACCCGCGAGGTCAAAATCGCTAAAAAAATGTCGCCTGTCAGCTATCGCTTAATAAACAACAACAACAGCAAAAACAAAACAAGAGTAGCTTTTTGGTCAATGTCGCTTTTACAGGAGCACAAGAAAGAGAAAAAGACCATGGGATCCGGCGTGCTAGTCCTGTTCAATTCTCGGACTATGATCAAGTTCACGCTGACTAACGTTGTGTTCCAGTAAGTTTCACCCTTATTTCTGCTTAATTCACTCTCTGAAAGAAGCTTCTGCACAGATACTGCTCCGCGATTCCCCAGCAACATCAATATTTGGTCTATTTCACCGGTTCAACCATTGAGAAGGGCCAAACGCATTGCGCTTCACTGACCGTGTAGAGTCAGGAAGGTTCCATCCCCTAATTCTCGTGAGACCGTATAACCATTGAAGCATGTTACCGATCGCTCATCTCATTGGTTGAATTGACCAAAGCAGCAGCATTGATTGGTGTTACAAATGTATTGGAAAGCATTGTGCACCAGGCTGAGTCACCAGCTCATGCGTATGACGTCCCAACAATGAGGGACGTCATAAGCCGTTCCCCAGTCCCACCAATGGTGGGACTGGGGAACGGAGCAGGCGCGGAAGCTGCGCACATCTAACGCGGATTTCTGCGCATGCGAAGTGTTCACATCGAACAATAACTTGGTATGTAGTCTAGAAATTTACGCCTTTCCAGGTGGTAGCGCTTGCTTGCAGAGAGCTTCTATCATGTTCATTTCATATTGACACAGACCACGAGAGAGCGAAATGTACGTGGCAGACATTTCAATCAGAGAACACCGAGATCGGGCTTTTAAAGTAACTTCTAAAAGTTTTGACACTCGTGCTGACAGACGACACGTTCCTTTACCACACATCTCTCGCTGACGACACACAACCGAGTAATGAGTTAATGGTGACTTTTAGCAAACCGTTAAGGTCCGGCCGTTCACACAGTTGCAACTGAGTAGGACCGATTGAGACAAGACCGGTTTGTAGGCCTCTTGCGACGGTGTAAGACCGGATGCGCTGCTGTGGAGCAGGTCCTAAGCCGTCACAAGAGGCTTAAAACCTGTCTTGTATCAGCCGGTCCTACTTGGTCCTTCTTTACGTCGGTCCTACTTTACCCTGTGCCGCGTACCGCATTACCGGAGAATTTAGAGCACGCTCTTAAAAAAAAAAAAACAAAAAAAAAACACTGAAAAGAAAAAAAAATTAGAACAAACTGGCTAAAACATGCGTGCCACAAAAATATGTATAAATATGACGCGACAAAATGTTTTGGAGCAATATTGACGACGCAAAGCATGATTAAGCCGGTAGTCACCTCCTTTCCACTTGTTTTCTCTCTCGGCATTTCGGGTGCGTGGAGGAGAGGTGGATCGGCTTCGCCTTCACGTTGAGGTGGAAAGAACGAATGACCACCTCGTTGAGGTGGAAAGAGTGTATAACTATTCCGTGACGTCATGAACTTTGCGCGCAGAACTTAATATAAATCTCGCACTGTCAATATTGCTCTAAAATTACTTTCCCGTAAAATTCATTTCTCGACACGCGTGTCCCAACCAAACTGTATATATAAAACAATTATTCTTTTATAATGGTTTTTTAAGCGCTGGCCCCGTGGTCACGGTATCACCCGGGCACGCGGTTAAAAGCGTGCTTCAAAGACTGCGGTTGTGCGGTACGCGGAACACGGTAACAGTTTGCTAAAAGTTCCTAATAACTACACATCGTAAGTGACCGTTTCTCGTTTCAAGAGGTCTTTGACTCGTGAAAGTGGCACTGTTCTGTACGAAAGGCACATGAATGAGCCATTGATTAGACCTAGTGCTTATATACCGGACGACAACGCATCTTAACAAAATAACTGAGAAGTTGGACCAGGCACTTTAAGGGTGGAATAGTTAACTTCTTGCTTTGCTGTACGTGACAACCGTCAGTAAATAGACTGTCAGACGTTTAGCGCTCCTTAATGTTTTCTCCAAGGATGGTTCATATATGGTGGGATGCCCTCGTTGCTGTGGCCAACGGTCTCCTCTGGCAGGTTCTGCGCGGCCATCGTGCGCTACAATCTGGCCCTGAGCACGGATATGTTTCCCGTGGACGCTTACCTCAACTACACCATCGGCGCGGCCATCGAGGTGGTGAGCGGCTGCAGCAGCCAGCTCATCCTGCTGTACGCCCCGCGCAAGAAGGCCACCGTCGCCTGCCTGCTCCTCACCGCAGTCTCCTACGTCCTGCTCGCCTGCGCCCACAAGGGCACGTATATTCTTTGCCACTATGCTCCGTTGTACAAGGTGGAGTAAGACAGCAAGAGTGAGCCGTGGTACTCGCACACCAAAAATAAACCACACATTACCCGCCATAATGTATCGCATTAACAGTTAAGGTGAAACGCCGGAGTAAAAAGTCGTATTTTTCGGCCACAATGTGCGAAGAAACGAAAGCGATATAGCTGTACCACGGTCGCGCAATGCGGGCGAAATGGTGCCGTCGCGTACCCGAGGACGAAGGTGCGACGTGGTTAATTCTCATAGCCTTCGTGGTTGGCGTCGTGGATGCAACTGACGACCGCCACCAGTGCTCGGTGAGTTTTGAAGTAAGTGGGGAAGAGCAGTGGATGTTTTTAAAACCATCCAACATTACGCGTAGCAGCTGGATACTGCCAAAGTGGGATTTCGCGTAACGCGAGTAATGTTTGAAAACAAGTATTTTAAGCAGACGAAAGGAACACTCTCCTTTCGTCGCGTCGTTACTGGAGGGATGCCGCGCTGCTTGGTCGATATCAGAAGCATATAGTTCGCTGCTTCGAATTAAATTAAATTGCGATGACACCATTCGGCAGTGTTGCGGAGTCTTTCTGGAGCTTTTGTTTGCGGCGCGCTACTAAAGCCACGATAACACTGCTAATACAACATCCAAAGAAGGTTGCGCAGCGTAGCTGTGGTATCAACTGCAACGATTGCCCATTGCACTATAAACCTTTTTTATGGCAAATGCCACCAGGTGGTGCTCGTTTTTGACGTCCCAGAGAACTTCCGGTTTATAAAAAATAATGAACAAAGGCCACCTTAACACCGCTGCTTGAAATGCAGATGAGACGTTTAACCACCAATTCTTCAAGTGAACGTCAAAAGAACGAAGGAGCGCGAGGTCTATTAAAATGTTTCGAGTATTCTTGTAAACCGATTTGCCTCCTCCAAGATGAAATGTTGTACCGCCGAAGGCCCTCATTAAATCTCCAACACTGTTGTTTGTGTAGCATTTATGCTTTCTAGCACTGGTTACATAAGCAAGCTCAATAGGCTTGCAAAGACGGTGCGACCGGAAGGCGCTTAGGAGGCAAGTGGCAGCTCATGTTTATGAACAGCAAAATGGTATATACCAAATGACTGACGAACGAAAAGTAAATGCACTGTATTAATACTTTTTATATACGAAAGGCTAGTTCTGTCACTACCCACGTCGCAAGCTGCCGTCGCCGCGGCAGCTTGCGGAACAGTAATCTTTAGAGGTAAACGTATTCGTTGAGCTCTACCTGCTTCGCATTGTTATCAGGCGCTCCTTAATATCAAATATGTGGTTCGGATCCTTGTTTTGTGCTTGTTCTTTATTGAAACGAATGCTGTACTGTATGTTGTATGCCCGATATGCGCTTTTCGCTTCAATCGTTGAAAGTAGTTTTTCTTCTGTGAGCACGCCGACACGAAACGACCAGTGCTATCACACTGGTCGTACAAAAACTGTCTGGATTCACGCTCGAAGCAGACACGAAGCAAATAGGCTGCTCGAGGAATGTCAACCGATGCTTTAGTCATCATGTCTGTAGCGAACACTTTCTTTTGTACCATGAGTAGGAATGAAGAATAGGTAACCGGGGGGATTTCACGGGGGGGGGGGGGGGGGGGGGGGGGGAGTGCCGGACCAACATCGTACAAAATGTATCCTGCCTACAACAGAGTCCCTCTGGGTCGAGACACTGCTGATGCTGCTGTGCCGCCTGTGCATCGGGAACGCATTCAACATCAACATCATCTACCTGAGCGAGATGGTGCCTACCAGCGTCAGGGCCCTAGCCACGGGCGCCGCCCAGACGGTGTACGGCATCGGCTGCGCCGTTCAGCCTTTCCTCAGCAATGCTGTGAGTAGCCGGCGACCCAAAGCGCCGTCATATAGCAACGCTTCTATAAATTTGCAATTTGGGGTTTCACGTTTCTGGTATGGTTAACCGTTCTTTATTTGGTCGTAGGAACGAGAAGGGCGAGAGGTATTGTGGACGCCAAACGCAGTCTCAGTGCCAAGAAAGTATCCACTTTGTTTTGACACTCGGACACGGCAGTGCAAGCACAGGCGCTTCCGAGTCTCCAAAGAAACACTTCTTGTTTTGACGTTCAGCTGCACGTTCTCTCTTGTTTATTCACCCTTACTCGCTTACTTACGTTATCGTTTTTTACCGATAGAATGTGCTGGATTATTGTCTCCAAAATTAAACACCAACAAACGTTTATAAAAAAAAAAAAAAAAAAAAAAAAAAAAACAAGCTGAGTTTATTTTTTTTCTTTGCGTCGAATTTGTTGAAATTAAACGCCGAGAATTAGAATATGTATTTTTCTGTAATCGGCGAATAAAAAATCGGAGGTTAGCGCGAAAGTTCGTTTAATATATCGTGTCATCGTAGTCAGAATGCCGTCGAAGGCTCGATCACATACGAACACATAAACTAAAAATGTCATTATTTTTAGTTTATGTCGTCGGGCATTCATCGGGCATTCACTGCACTTGGTTTGTTTAGTGTAACACGTAGAGAAAGATGACAACGCCATAGCGTTGCGCTTTTGATGCGCTTGACTGGTGCCATCGGCTCGTAGCTTCGGCTGCATGCACTCGAAGGAATTACTAGCTGCCTGAGTATATAGCTAGCTACTTTGCGTGATCTGGTGAAGGGACGCTGGATGCTTTCCGCTTTTACGTTTTTTTTTTCATTTTTTTTTCATTTTTTATTCCGATTTCAGTTTGAAAACCAGACAGCGGACGCCGCCTTCCACGCGGTCATTCTCTTCCTCGCCACGGCGGCGGTCCTGCCGTGGATGGAGACCCGGGGTAAGCCTCTTCCAGACTTCGTCGCCGGCATCGAAGATCCGACGGTGGACAGTGTTTCCGAGGGTGAAGGTTCGACGTTGGACAGCGTCTCCGAAGGCGAAGGTTCGACAGCGTCGACCAAGTCCAGTGTTTCGACGAACTTGTCGGAGTCGTCGACCTGTGAGACGAGAGTCTGATACCCTTTGTGCGTGACGCCTAGAAGACTCTTCACAGTCAACGGTCGCTCAACTCGCCGCCGCTGCTATAGGGTTGACAGTCCCGGATTCTGGAGTGGATGAGCGGAACTGTGCACTTTAAAAATTACCTGAAGTCCCAGTCACACTGCTCATACATCATACAAAAGACAAGGCGTTTGCTGCAGACATGATGACAGAACTGTCTGCGGACACGCCTCAAGTATAGGGTGTCTGAAGTCAAAATGCTCGATCTGAAATCGACCGTAAGAATCGGCGTCTGTACTTAGTAATCGAAACTTTTTGTCGAATGTCTATTTCAGAAGTCGGTTTTATCCTGTAAAATTACAAAGCGTAGCTCCCTGTCTGCAAAAAATAAGGCCAAAAAACTTGCCAGGTTCAACGGCGGAAGGCGACGCAAACGACCAAGTCGAGTGGTGAGGCGCGTTTGGCGCACGTAGTGATAGATAGATGGCGTCGGGAGCAGCATCAGAAAGCGTAGCCAACCAGCGAAAGAAAGCAGACGACATGCAGACGAAGTGCGCCGGCAGCAAAAGCGCCATCGTATTATTCAACCGCATTTTGTTTACTTCAATTAAGTTTTGCTTTGATTGTCCGCATTTATTTTTAAACCAAGGGTACATAACATAAAAAAATGGGTTGGTTTTTATGGACCACAGTCGTCGCGAGCAGTTTCGATAAGTAGGTAGGGCATCTATCGATGTATACTTGCGCCAAACGCGCCCCGCCACTCGACTCTGTCGTTTGCGTTGCCGTACGCCGTTGACCCTGGTAAGTTTTTTTGGCCTCACTTTTTACAGAAAGAGAGCTACGCTTTGTGATTTCACAGGATAAATCCGACATGTGAAATACACCTTTAACGAAAAGTTTAGATTGCTACGTGCAGGCACCAATTTTTACGGCCCATTTTAGATCGAGCCTAGTTATTTCAGTCACCCTATATATGTTCGGGGCATATTTGCCTTTCATATGTATGTATGTTACGAACGTGTCTAAAAACCGCTTCTCTCTCTTTTTTTTTTTTTTTTGTAGGATTAAAGCCGGGGTCAGGCAGTCTGCAAACACGGGTCACCACAGTGGTTCGACCGTTGCGTGCCACGTTTTCTCCTGAAACTCTCTGTCGTGCGCCATTCGAAGCATGGATCTCGCGCTGACTTGCCTTCGAATCTGTACGCAGACGGTCTTTTGTATGAGGTATTAGCGGTGTGACAGCGTCTTGAGTGTATAAAGTCGTAGTGACATCAGTACCCTTCTTGCCACGACTCAGACCGAAGGCGATTGGAGCACGTGACCATATCGCTCCCATTTAATAAGTGATTGGTGGTGTCGAAAGGACGAGCAGTGTAGTGTATAAACGCAAAAAAAAAATTTAGTAGGGGTTTGCCTTTGTTTTGTGTTCTGTGCTGGTGCACAGTTGAAAACTGTCTAAGGAGATCGCTGATCGTACGTGTTATAGGTTTTGTGGAATTTAGCTTCCAAGATGTCGTTTACTTAGAGCCTTCATTGTGTTCAATATTGATTTATTCTAGGTTCGCTCAAAAACTTGTTAGGTTTTTTTAATAATAAATGTATAACAAAATGGCTCTACAATAATGTGCTGTCACGGCAAGTGTGTTTTTAAAAGTTATTAGTCATCATTGCATATTACTGAGACAAAATTCTTTCTAAAATATTTTATATCAATAAATATAGCATATTTTATGGGGATGTCTTGCTCGTGATAATGATGCTTTGTTCCAAGAAACCCTGGCAGGTTGTAAAAATCGACATGCTTCTGAGTATTTCTCTAATTTTGTTATTAAAAATAGCTTTAGTAGAACATTACAATATTTTGTCGAACAATCGATTCTCCTAAGGTTAATTCAAAGGCCTTCAAAACGAATCGGCAGGTCAGCTTGCGATACTCTGCGCATTCCTCTCGGCTTGCACCGCTTCGCCGGCTTTTTAAAGGCCTTTGTTTTGAAGGCCTATGAAGCACTTGCGAGTTTTTGTACCTCTGAAACAGGGGCAGTATGTCGTTTAGAAATATTATCCAGATACTTTAGAAAATATATTCCTGTAAGCTTCACAAAAGGCAGCCGACGTTTCACTTAAAACTCAGCATACAAGAGAAACGTCTCCTTCATCCTTGAAACTCCCAGGAGGTTTCTTTTCAAGTCCCTTTCGTTCCCGAGTCCCACTACAGTGACATACAGAACTAACTGACACCGACGAGACAAAACCACCTGAACCACGTGCGCCATGCTCTCGATGATACCTTTGGCAGGCTTGAGTTCTCCTGGCGCTGCTTGTGAAGTAATCGCGACTGATTGCAAGCCTGTTAAAGATACACTCGTGTGCATGCTACACGTATATTTGACTTATCTCTGCCATTTGTTTCTGTTTGTCGCTTTAGTGAGAGTCTATATTTATCGCTCTTCTAATCTTTTTGTATAGGAAGTATTCACTGGCGGCCATAGCTGTGGGCGTGACTGCTGAGCGCGTGCTGACGGCGAGTTTCCACAGTTCTTTTGTAACGTGCATTCCGCACCCTCAAGATTGCTGGTCTTAGCAGCCTATTAATGTGGGCTCGTTCTGAGCATGCGCTCTAGACAGCACCCACAAATATGGCGCCCAGTGAATACTCCTTATACATACCGCCCCTCGACACACTCGAACGGCAGTCGTCGCTTTCAATCAGCCCAGGCAATGATAATGACGATCGATATTATACACCCTTTCTACAAAGGCGCAGCCATCTTAAATGTCGCCACTTCTGGTATGCGGTAAAACATCGTTTTGACCTCTCCACGCCACTGGAAGGTGTTCACGACAAATGCGTGACAGTCACAAATTCTTGTTTAGCCTCACATATATATGTTATCGCATATATTAGGTTGAAATGTTTAATTATTTTTTCGTCCCGCATACCATATCCGGAACCGCCGTGACTGAGAACTAGAGAAAACAGAAAACTTCTATATGCTTAAACCTTGATACGAAATTACAGTTTTAAAGTAAGTGGACACTATTCTGCAACACCGACATTGCATGACCATATGAGCGCGGCAACACTCATCCTTTACATTGGCTTGATTAGTGAAAAGAATATGGTGTATTGATTGATTGATTAAGAGAGAGAGAGAGAGAGAGAAAGAATAGAGATAGAGCGTTTATTGGAAAGAAACAGCGAGGTCAGCCAGCGCTCTGTGCCGGCTTGCTACGCTGTAAAAGCAAGATGAAAAAAGGATAAAACAATAATATTGACAAAGGTAGCAAAAAGAAAGTATAAAGAAGGGAAGTAGTGAAATAAACAAATTAAACTAACAACACAAATGTGCACGCACACATTATATACACACATACGTTACGTTGGCAAGTGTTACTTAACTTTTCAGCACACTGCAGTACCCTAAAGTGTTCGTTGAAGATGTCTCTTCTTCATGTAATGTAAAACAGCTTCCGTGCCTTTGTAACTATCTCTGGTAGAATTCCAGGCTCCAAACAGGAGTTTCAAGTCCTCCTGGTCCTCTTCATTGCAGGCGAGTCTTCAGTGCGTTCCTTTCGATGCTGTAATCCCCGCAGGCACAGGGGACGTGCTCCATGCTTTGTACTGTTCTGCATGATGAACATTCAGGAGAGTCAGCTTTGCCAATTTTATGAGGATATATTTAGCATATTCAACGTCGTGCCGCTAACGATGTACCACTGTCTCAAGTTTCCTTAATAGTCCCCGTGGTGTCCGCAATCAGTGCTCAGATCAATACTTCGAAGGTGCTAATAGTGATATTGCGGATTTTTCCATAAATATTGAAAACGGAATAGATAAAGAAGTACGTACCGTGCTCTCGTGGTTGTCTTTAGAAGCTTTCCCTTACAAAAAAAAAAAAAAAAAATGAAACGAGTTTCAATTGAAAGTGTACATGATCCACTCAATACACCAGGGGTTTCCCCAGGAATTGGAATTAAGGGGGGGGGGGGGGGGTTGGTAAGGGCATTAAGAATACAGAATTGGTTGCAAATTAAAAAAAAAACGCCTTAAAAAAAAGAAAAAAAAGGGGGGGGGGGTGTACACCTTTCCACCCTTCTAAGGGGGGGGGGGGGGGGGGTGTAGGGAAATTACTGCAATACATAGCGTTGAGTATCAACTGAAACTCAATTTTTTTTCTTATGAGTTCCCATTGAATCGTCACATAACATTGGCCACCGCGTTTCAATTAATAGTGTTTCAATACAAATTTTTCAATTTAGTAAATATAACTTTTGCAATTAAGTTTCACTAAAATTTTTTGCAACTATGTTAAAAGGAATCCTGCAACTTCTTGAGAATTTTTATCTTATAATTCCTTAAAGCATGGAACATGGGGGAAACGAGGCCCATAAAAGGAACGGAAGTCTGATAAATGATAAACACTGTTTCTACGTCATTAAACTCTATCTTTTAAAGGGATGCTGAACCGAAATCTTGAGCTCACAAAACAAGTCTGGAGCGATAGGCGGGACGCTGCAAAGACTAAAGACATCACCATACAGTGATATATCCAACGGATGGCCGTAATTCTTTAAAAGACTAGCACGATTGAACACGGCCGACGAGGTCGACGAGAGTTGTGAAGTCGCGATTCTCATTCTCTCTCCTCTTCACTTCGTCCCCTCGAGCAGGTGAACCAAAGCGAGGAGGTGAGAAGCGAGGCCGCTTCCCCTTATTCTCAACTGTTCGAAGAGAATCGTGACGTTACTTCCCTCGCTTGCTCGCGCCATGAGTGATGTTTTGGAATTCGTAGTGTCCAATTCAACACTTCTGCAGCCTTATTTTGCAAAATCCAAATTGCAACTCAACATTAAAAAAAAAAGAAGAAAAAAATGGTACAAGCAATAATTGTTCTGTGCAGTCGCTAAATCCACGAAAGCGATTCCTAGTCGGTATGTTATCGCTTCTCTGCATAGCACTACTCAGGACAAGAGGAGACACATTCGCTGCTGGTTTTAAAATATTATATTCC